AATATTTATATTTCAGGTGATTTATTGAAGTCAATCTAGATACTATTTGACAATGATGATTGAATAATGCTTTATTTTTGCAATGGCTGATGCGCTCAAGTCATATTTCAGGAAAGAAATTTATAATGTTTGAATGCTTTTAAATTTTTTTTTGTATTTATATTTTTTCCTATGAGAATTGAGTAGAGCTTTCATTTTTAAATTGTTTAAGGATATAAGTGTGCTTCTTCTATTCACAATATCAACCCCATACTCTATAAGAACGATTTTTTCGATAAACTTTCGAGCTGTTCTATAATGATTAATCTACAACAAATATAATTGTAAGTGCCAAGTAATCTATAATAAATGTGGGTGTGTTTTTGATCGGGGTTTGACTCCGCAAGTGTTCGCTTCACCCACACATTTGTCTCTCGAATGCAAAATATGAAGACTTTACATTGCATGCGTTTCAGAAACGTTTCATTGATACTGACTGTTTCTACTATTTCTGAAAGGATAGTAGAAAAGACGCAGTAGTTTTAGTAATTTCTAAATTAACTAACGGATGCATACAACTTTTCATAGCGGCTATTCTGTAACAATAGTTTCTTTAACAGATACTGTCTAATACTTTTATTTCATCGGAAATTGAACCATATCGAAGGTCAAAAATAATAGTTTTCGAAATGAAAAGTCTTCCTACCGTTTTGTGCTCTTCATTATATTTGTTACACCACGCATCTATGATGTTCGAACGTCAATAGTAAATATCTCGAGCTTTTCAAAGATAGTCATAAAGGGAGTGCAAATATAAGTGAGTAAAAGAGAAAGAATTCTGTTTCTCGTCATCGCTGCTCTAATAGTATGAAGCTAGGAGCGGCAACTTCAAGTTTTGCTTCTTCTGCATTTCTTTATTCGGGTTGTCAAAGAAAGATGCAAATATAAGTTTATCAATGTATTCAAGAGCGAAAAACAATGTGCTCCTCGCTTCCTCTATAAAAGCGCGTGCAACAACAAACTATATACACTGTTGTCTTGTCTTCGACACGCTTTTTATCAGTAAGAAACAATTACATCTCCAAGCAGAACAAGTTGATTTGCTTCTATTCGAACTAAAATAGAATTTCATAGGATCATTGTAAATCAGGATATGTTTTTAGAGCGTGGTGATAAATTATAATCGAGCTACGTATATTGCTCAAAAATCTAGAAAAACCTTTAAGAAAAGCATTTGAGGACAAGGGTGTATCGGTCTGTCCATTGTTAGGTACGAGGGGTAGGAATGTGGATCGGCCTATGAGTGACTGCGTGCAAGTACAAGCGAGTCGAAGATGCTGGACACACTCATACGTCCCTCCCCTTATGTATCATCCATACTTCCACCCTTAACCCACTCATTGTTGTGCTTGCCCTCACGCGCTACCTCACATCCTCTCTTTTTATTTCCTCGTACAACTTCTATTCGAACTAATGAACTGACAGATGGTCAATAAAAAAAGTATCTGTCAGCATTTTGAATGTTTCTCAGCAATCTTTCAACATGGCAGGACAATTTAAAAAAAACTCTTCATTGGATTTTCTACTAATTGGAATCTTTAATTTATCTCTAACGGCATATTTTATTTGTTGAGCCTAATGAAGATAAACCTAGTCGAACTATTTTTCTCATGTATATGAACGAATGCTATGTTTTTCATCGAATGACACTTTTCTTGAAAAGCATTTCGTCGACGTAACTTTTTCGAAAGTATATCACCAACAGGATATTTGAGTAGTGTCACGTATCCAGAATTTTGGAGATGCACCCACATCTCCTGCGGGAGACGCGGGATCTCCTTCAGGAGACGCGGTCATTTTCCACTGGAGATGTATCATCTCCTTTAGAGATGCGCATCCCTCGCACCCACACTCACATCTCTCGCAGTAAATGCCGCCTCTCTCGCGCTAGACGTGGATGCATCTCCAAAATTTTGGATATGTGACACTGCTGGAGTGATGATGAATTTATCAATAAAGGATATTTTTGTTAAAGATACAAAATAAAAATCAACATCCGTTAAAAAAAAACACAAAAAACTCTTTCTCAGTTTTTGCTTTTTTTTGCGATCTTTAGTTTCTTTTGTTAGACCACAATATGAGAGAGAGAGAGAATATAAATAAAAAAAAAATAATAATTGAAAATTTTCTATTGTTAAAATTTATATTCTGATCTTTAATATACATATATATTTCTCTATTTCACTTGTCACGTGCAATCAATGGAAGAAACCAACTCCATTTCTTTCTCTACATTAATAAAAAAAAAGCGAGAAAAACAATGCAACTGTTTGTTTTCTAACGAGTGTATGTATGTTGTTACTTCTCTTTTCTGTGTTATGCGCACTAGAATCATCATCACATATACGTGAAGCTGAAGAAATAAAAGAGAGAGAAAGTCAAGACATAAATACGTCCACCACCATTCTCGTCTTCTCTCTATGCTATCTGCCTCTTCACTCAGTTAGTTAAATAGACAGTGATTAAAAGAAAGAATTTTGCCTGACATCATCATTACAACACATATACAACAAATTATCTATCGAAACTAGTAAGTACGATTTATTTATTTATAAAAAAATAAAAACGAAAATAACTATTTTGTTTATTCATTTATTTTTAGATATTGAATAAAAATGTCTCTATCAAATCAATCAGTTCAATCATATTATATGGAGTTTTTACGTTGTGCTAAATGTTCACATGATTTTGAATATGAAAATTCATTATATCATCCAATAACATTACCTATATATGGTCATACAATGTGTAGACAATGTTTTGATATAATACGTAATCAAACAAAATGTCCACAAGATCATGTTTCATTTGAAATAAATCATATACCAATACCAATTGATCAATTACCAATAAATTATTCTTTATGATTCATCAAAAGTAAATATTTTTATATTAGTTATTAAACACTAAAAAACAAAAAAAAATTTCCTTTTTGTTTTTCTTTTTATTTAAATATAGTTACCAAAGGATAATGAAGAACGTTATGGTCAATGTCCATCTTATGTGAAACTTGATAAAAAAAAGAAAAACAAAATTACACTTTAATTCTATAGAAAAACGTTTTGGTGACATATCACTTATAATTAAACGAATTAGTAAGAAGAAAAAACAAAAAGTTTATGTCATTTTGTTTATTTTTAATGTAACTACTTTTTAGTTAATCATAGAGAATGTCAATCAATATTCAGTCGTTCAATGATATCCTGATTATATAATTCGTCTATGAACAGATAAAGATCTTGATGAATTAATATCTTAAAATCGATATAAATATTTATATAATATATATAAAGGATATCCATATTCAATTCAACGTGCTGATTTAAGTCGATTAATTATTCTTTATAATTAAGGTGGAATATATACTGATTTAGATGTATTTCCTTGTTCAAGACAAGTTGAAAAACTTCGTTTATCAAGTGCATCATTTATAATACCACGTTCAGCATCTGGTTCATCTTTAATAAATCATTTTTTAGTTGCACCAAAATCATCTCCTGTTATTGATTTTATTCTTCATGAAATAGCTCCATTAAAATTTTATAGAAGAATTTATATTGTACCTTGTTTAGAATTTTTTTCAATAGGATCGATTTTTTTAACTCGTGTTATTCGAAAATATATTAAATCACTTGATTTTTAAAGAAATTCAATATGAATTTTATCTGAAGATAAAGTTACTAAATATGTAACTAATTCTACTGGAAGATCGTGGCATTTATTGGATGAATTTATTTTTAATCAAATCGATGCTAATCCAAAATCATTTTGTTTTATTCTCTTTTCTTTTCTTATTGTTTTTAAACATCATTCTCATGTTATCAAATATATTAAATTAAAATAAACAGTATTTATTTGTTACAAAAAGAACACACTTGAATTAACATTTATTTTAACTAGTTTTCATCTGTTAACAATGCAATTAGAATTCGAACTTCTTCATAGATAATCTTATTATTGTAAGAATTATTGTATGTTGTTGAAATATTGACTTATTCAAGTTGCAATAGAAATGAAATTCTACACATTCTTTTTCATAACAAAATACAAATGAAAAATAAATCAAACCAGCACTTTCAAGTTACAACCATTAAAAAAAACGACGACAGAAAAATAATTAATATTTCGATGATGTTTTTAATATGATGAATAATGTTTGAAAGAATTTCTATAAATTTTTCATAAATCAAAATTAGGATATTAAACATGTGTCTATAAATAATTCATTTTATTTTCCCAAGCAGACTATAAAAAGCATAGGAGAGGTAAGACGAACATTCGAAAATTTAAAATATATTTTGGTTTTGCTGTTTTCGTCAAATACTTTTTTATTTCTTGATATTCATCGAAGTTTCGAGTTTTCGAGCAAAGAAATATATCGAAAGAAAAAGAATCAAGTACTCTAATAAAATAAAAGTTTCAAAAGATAAGCTTAAATTTTGATTTTGTGAAACTTTTTCAAACAGAGATTTACAAATGTCTCTTTCATTTGGCTACTTTAATAAAGTGATTTATCTTCGACGTATGTTTTCGTTGATTTTACTATTTTCTATCAAAATATTTAACATTACTTGATGAAAAATAACAAGATCGACTTCATAAGCATGTGATCAGAAACACGCTCATGAAGAATTTTTTATTTTACACGTTTGAAAATTTTTTTTATTAATATCATTGTTATACTTTATCAAATAACATGTATCAACTAAAGCTTCTTATATGACACTGGAAACTCCAAAAAGTCTTTTCTGTAGTTAGAGAAGCGTAAAAGATGTTTTTATTTTCAAAAACTATTAGTGAAATGTTAAAATAACAATCTTGAGAATCCTTTTCTATCCTTCTAACTATTGGAAAAATAACTTTCATTGAATGTTTTGACTGCAATGAAGTTCAATTTTATAGAAAAAAGATTATAACTTGATATTAAAGGAACTAACTGTTTGAATCATCAGTTTTGAATGAAAAAGGCGATGTGGAGAATATGAACACCTAACAATATTTTAGATATGTTCAAATTTGAAAAGAAAAAGGAAATTTCATTTGATTTCCTTGAGATAATTTTTCATTTCAATGGTCAAACGTCAATGGTATTTATTCATCAAATTTGCATAATTCATATAGGAAACAAGTAAATTCGGGATTTTTCATTATATTACTATAGAAAATTTTCTATATTATAGAATGAGAAATATAGTGATGAATCATAAGACCTAATAAGCATTATACCTTCGTTATCGTTTTCGCCATAAATCGTGACAGAATGGGAAACAAAAAGTCGTGATATTGACTAGCATAGTCGTAAGAGGACACGACGGAATGAAAGAAATATATTAAAACGAGCGGCGTAATGAGCATACGACGTTTCTTACCGGTTACTACATATATTGAGCATATATGAAAAACCAATGAAACGACTATGGTTATAAAATATATAGTATACTATATATTCTATATCTGGCGATTGTAGAGAAATAGAAGTAATTAGCTACGTAGTGTATTCCTAACAAATTAATTTATCAAATACTTCTTAGAAAATAAGTCATGGACGGACTCTAAAATTTTATTGACTGGTCAATAGCACTTCTCAAAAAATGAATTAAAATCAACGAAATGTTTTATCGTGCTTTTTTATTCTACTCACATGTGATAAACATGTAACTTTCTTATTTAGAGTGTGTCAGCTTTGAGATTATTCTATTATATCTGAATTTACACTCATACATTGAAATATTTCACAAAAAAATAGATAACTGTCTATTACGTAATAAACACATATTTCATTGGTAGTGATCTGGTAATAGGCTAACATTAAATAACTATACATAGGGTGGGTGTGTGGGTGTGTGTGCAAAAGAAATAAGATTCACACCCACACCCCACACCCAGATCGACTCGATTTACTATGTGATATAATTCATTAAAATAATCATTCTTTATTCCCCATGTTGCGAACACCAGAGCACTTTTTGCGGTAAACCGCGGTACTAGTCAAAACCGGCGATTTACCGCGGTTTTGGGAGCCGGTAACCGGATCGGTAAAACCGCGGTTAACCGCCGGTTTTCATCACATGGATTACAACTAACTGAATTTTCAAAAATCAATGTATCTGATGAATCAACTGATGACGAAGATGAAACAAAAAAAAAGAAATGATGATGAAATTCTTTCGAATTCTGCAAGTTCATTATCAACCGATGAAACTTCATTAAATCATACCAAAAATAATAATAATAATAATAATTTCGGTATGTCAAATATTCAACAAACCAGTGATTATGAATCATTTCCTGATTGCATGTGTCAATCATCAATTATTGGTACTGCTAATGCTCGTACTACTACAGCTTTGGCAAATATCAATTTAGATAATCGCTTTAGTTTTCAATCATTCATCCGAGTAAATGGTGAAGGTTCATCATTACCAAATGATCAACAACGATAACGAAAAAATGGTATATCAACAACAAATGCAATTCGTAAAAATGGTAGGGATCTGCATCTCCATGGAAACCGTTCCCGGTAGCGCCACAATCTATACTTCGTTCTACAGCTAGTGGCGCTACCGGGAACGGTTGCCATGGAAATGCAGACCCCTAAAAAATGGTAAAACAACATGTATAGCAACAAATAATGAAACGCCATTGCTTTCGCATTTTTTTGGAAGGTTAAAATTGTCATATAGCGACAATAATTCTATTGCTGTATTTGAATTTTCTTTTGTTCTTTGTCTTCTTCAGATGAGCCATCACATTATATAGAATACATATCTAACCATATATATGCATGCCTTTTCTTTGAAGAGTGAGTTACTCTTGTTTAGTTTCGTTTCATCTATCTTGCATTCTTTCTGCTTCTGCTTTTCGAGTCAATACACTGATATTACCTCGACCTCTCTATTTCAAAAACGCAATTGAAATACGTGACAAAAATATAATAGCGATTCTGATCTAAATTCAAAACTATGGTTGAATAATTTATTCTTGCTTGTTTGGGTTTTCATTCTTCTTTTTTTGTTTTGTTTTTTTTTTATTTAAAATTTTAATCATATGCATTTTCTTGTAGTATGATGATCAACAGCAAGAATTTATTTCTCAATTACTGAATTAATTGATAATTGTGTTTGTTTTCATTTTTTCTTTGTGCATAGATACTTTTTTCGATTAATCTGAAACATTAATAATAATAAAAGCACTTAAGTGATAAATTTTCATTATGGAAACAATGGATTTACAGATGTCATCAACAATTCGAGTAGGCATTATTGGTGGATCAGGTTTTGATCGAAGTGATATTTTATCAAACCGTGTTGAACATGAAATTTTTGATACACCCTATGGACAACCATCAGATAATTTAGTTAGTGGAACCATTAATGGTGTTCAATGTGTATTATGTTTTCGACATGGACGTCAACATTCATTTAATCCTACAAAACTTAAGTAAGTGATTTTAAAACTTTTACTGTTTTAACCCTTTCAATTCCCTATGTCATCTGCCAGATGATATGCAGAACGAAAAAGAAATATTTTGCGTTCTTTCGTCTTCCTAGACGATGAATATCATATGACATGTTCAAAGGAAAAACGTAAATAAAATTAGCACCAGATTCGAGTATTTATTGTCCCGATTCGCTTTCTTACCTGTGTTACCTCTCTACGCACTTGTGTTAGGTGCGAAATTTTATCCTCTATCCAATGGTACTAGTTTCAACCTGGATCATCGGGCAAAAAATCACCACTTTCCCCGAAATACTGGTTTATTTCCTGTGCAACAATAACAAATATTATGTATTTAATGTCCGGATTCGCTCTACGACTTGTGTTAACTTTCTAGTTGAGCGTGTTAGATGCAGAATTTAATTCTCTATCCTATGGTACTATTTCCAAGTGGTGTTATCGGGCAAAAATGAGGGATTATGCCCCAAATACCGGGAACAATACCCTATGTTGGGAGTAATCTTGAGGGTGTGGGTGTGGACATGACGAATACGATGATCAACATTGACACCCACAACTGACGGGTCATGTTTCATGATATAACTGGAATATATTGAATCAAGATATTCACTATTTTACAGGTGATGATCTTTGCGTCGATTATCAATGAAACTGCACAGGAAAAATGCAAAACACAATATGAATTTTACGATGAAACAACGCTTAAATATTTTACACTATATCATGCAGTGCTAATATCTAAGGAAAATACATCTACAAATTTGTTCATTTCTTTTTCAACCTTGTTCATTCTCTTTTGCATCTTATTATTGACGAATCTCAATAGAACTAAGATAATACTAGATACAAGAAGGAAGAAAACAGATATTAACAAGTTGCCGAGCATTTGCGATTTTATTGGTTTTTGTGGAGTGCTGTCGTAGAGATCGAATTGTAGTTGTTTAAGAGAATCTATATCTCTTCCTTTGTATTCAGCTTCTAAGCAACTTGTCAACTCTATTATTCAATATTGAAATTTTAACATTTTTTCGAAAGCTCCATGAAGTTTGGACGTGATCACTAGCGTGTTGTTTGTACATTCGGATGATCGTAGTTGAATATTTGAACATCTGATAGATGCTTCACATGGTAATCGTAAAATCGACGGTTCACAATCGTTATGATGTCAATTGAATTGTTCAACTGCAAAACGACTTTTGCAGTGCTTAACTTCATCGAGGTTATAGAAAACCCATATATCTCGTCCTCCATTCACGATAGCTGGTTGAGAATTAATTTAAGGATTTAGTTCGTAATCATTCGAACTACAAATTTAAGTCGAAAAAAGCTGTTGCATACGAAGCAAACTGGAAAGAAACACCGATGTTGGCTCTTCTTCACATTGCACAACTTTCGACAAAATGCGCTTTGATTTTTGCTTATCATTCCATGTAGTTAAAGTTTGATCTGTTAGATTTAGACAGAACGTTGTTTGGCATATAAGTATAAATATATTTTTCTCTCTAACCACAACTGGTATTTGATGAAAATTATAAACGGTATGCCTAAAATATTTAACACACGGTGCTCGTACCAATAATGCAGACTCAGTATTTGGGAAACCACCCCCCATTTTCCTCCCATAACACCACTTGGAAATAGCACCATAGGATAGAGAATTAAATTCTGCATCTAACACACTCAACTAGAAAGTTAACACAAGTCTTAAAGCGAATCCGGACAAGAATTACACCCAGTATG